AGCCCTCCCAGCTCACCTCAGCGTGCTGGGCCATGGTGCTGGCTTCCACCGCGTAGATCTTGCGCGCCCCAGCCTGCGCCGCGAAGAAGGAGAGGATTCCAGAGCCACAGCCAACGTCCAGGACAATCTGGGGACAGGGGGACACGGGGGATGTGAGGGGCTGGCATTTATCCCGCTCCAGGACCCGTGGATCCGAGCAGATGCCGGGGATTAGGGCGGCACCGGAGCCCAAAGCCGCTTTGATCCTATATTTAACGCCGYGGCGACGGYGGCTCCCRGAGGAGCGGGATCGTCCCACCCCTYKCCAGGTGTGGTCCCAAAGGAWGTGAAAATCAACCCCATTTCTGGCTCTGGGATGAGGCTGTGCTGCTGCAGCCAGAGCCAGACCCAAAACCAGGCTGGTTTGTCCCCAAATGGGGCGGGTTTGTCCCCAAAATGAGGCTGGTTTGTCCCAAAAGCCATCAGGCTTTCTGAAAAATGGGGGCAGATTCTCTAAAACAGAAGCCACGATTCCCAGCAGAAACAAGGCTGGTTCCTGTGTAAAAAACAGCCAAATTCTCACTAAAACTCAGCCAAATTCTCCCTAAAACACAACCAAATTCTCCCCAAAATGACCCAGATTCCCCCAAAACGTGAACCAGGATTCCCAGCAGAAACCAGGCTAGATCCCGTGCAAAAAACAAAATTCACACAAAAACTCAGCTGAATTCTCCCCTAAAACACAGCCAAATTCTCCCCAAAACTCAGCCAAATTCTCCCTAAAGCACAACCAAATTCTCCCCAAAGCACAGCCAAATTCTCCCCAAAACACAGCCAAATTCCCAGTAAAACTCAGCCAAATTTTCCCTAAAGCACAACCAAATTGTCCCCAAAATGACCCAGATTCCCCCAAAACGTGAACCAGGATTCCCACCAGAAAGCAGGCTGGATCTTGCACAAAAAACCAGCCAAATTCCTACTAAAACGCAGCCAAATATCCCTCAAACCAAGCTGATTTCCCCCCAAATGATCTGATTCCCCCCCAAACTGAGCTGATTTCCCCCAAAACGAGCTGATTTCCCCCCAAAAGGACCCCGATGGCACAGACCTTGTCCTTGAAGTCGCTGTGGTTTTGCAGGATCGCCCGCTGGTACGTCCCCGTGCGCACGTAATCCTGCATCATGTTCTGCTGCTGGGACAGGTACCCGTAGAACTGCCGGACACACGGACACGGCGTCAGGATGGGATGGGAATCATCCACCAGGAGAGGGAATTCTCCCTCAGGAGAGGGAATCATCCACCAGGAGAGAGAATCATCCACCAGGAATGGGAATTGTCCCCCAGGAATCCTCCCCCAGGAGAGGGAATCATCCACCAGGAATGGGAATCATCCACCAGGAGAGGGAATCATCCACCAGGAATAGAAATTCTCCCCCCAGGAGTAGGAATTTTCCCCCAGGAATGGAAATTCTCCCCCCAGGAATGGAAATTCTCCCCCCAGGAGTAGGAATTCTCCCCCCAGGAATGGAAATTCTCCCCCCAGGAGAGGGAATCATCCCCCGGGAGCAGGAATTCTTCCCCCAAGAGCAGGAATTCTCCCCCAGGAATGGAAATTCTCCCCCCAGGAGCAGGAATTCTCCCCCCAGGAGCAGGAATTCTCCCCCAGGAATGGAAATTCTCCCCCCAGGAGCAGGAATTCTCCCCCCAGGAGCAGGAATCCCCACCTGGAAGTACTGCACGGCCGAGGACTCCTCCGTGCGCTCACTGAACACCGAGCGCTCCGTGTTGTGGCCCCGGCAGTTCTTCAGGATGTTGTAAAAGGAGCAAAAATCTGGAGGAAAAGGGGGCAGGAGGTTATGGGGGGGCTCCCCAGGGGGATCTGGGGGGATCCAGGAGGGGTTTTGTACCGTTGGGGGTCCCGAATTGCAGCAGGACGCTGTTGCAGCCCAGCGTGATGATGAAGGATTGCTTCCCCACCCGGCTGCACTCGGTCTCGCGGGACACGGAGCACTTGAACACGCAGACATCTTCATCTGGGAGGTGGGAAAAATRGGARTGGGGGGAGAAAAAYGGGAGAGGAGGGTGTGGAGAGGGAAAACGGGGCGGGGATAGAGGAAAAATGGGGTGGGATGGAAGGGAAAATGGGTGGGGCAGAGAGAAAAATTGGGTGAACACCAGGCTGAGCCCCCACCCCTGTCCCGGTTTCAAACCCTCACCACAGATAAAGCACAATTAACTTAATTAACCCCTAATTACAGCGGAGGAGGACCCCTAAAGCACAGCCTGGGGGGAGGAGGGAGGGAAGATGCAGATATCAAGGAAAAGAGGGCTGAGAGCCTGGGGCTGAGCTGGGAATTGCCCGGGGAGACATCGTGGGAATTGGAACAAGCCCGAGAGTCGGGAACCGCCCCGGGGGTCATCCCAGGACCGGGAATCGCCCCGGGAACCATCCCGGGGGTCATCCCAGGACCGGGAATCGCCCCCGGGGTCATCCCAGGACCGGGAGCCATCCCGGGGGTGATCCCAGGACCGGGAGCCATCCTGGGGGTCATCCCAGGACCGGGAACTGCCCCGGGGTCATCCCAGGACCGGGAGCCATCCCGGGGCTCATCCCAGGACCGGGAACTGCCCCGGGGTCATCCCAGGACCGGGAACCGCCCCGGGAGCCATCCCGGGGGTCATCCCAGGACCGGGAATCGCCCCCGGGGTCATCCCAGGACCGGGAGCCATCCCGGGGCTCATCCCAGGACCGGGAATCTCTCCGGGAGCACGGAGTCATCCCGGGAGCCACAAATTGCCCCCGGGACCGGGAGGCATCGCAGGAGCCCCCGGGCAGCCAGCAGAGCATCGGCAGCTCCGGCCGCTCTCACGCCGGGAAATCCAACCCCAAAAAAACGCCGTTTTCCCCCGGGACGCGGCTGCCGGAGCCTCCTCCCCTCCCGCCGGAGCGGCCACGCGGCGCTGGAAGTTGCCGGCGGGGTCGGGAGCGGCGGGGAGCGAGGCCAAAGCGGGGGCTTCCAGCCCGGGAACACCTGCACCGAGCCGGGAGCGGGAACTGCGCCGGCCCGGGCTCTTTGTGGCCGATGAAAGGACCGGCAGATGTTCCGGCAGATGTTGCGGCGGGGAACGGGCGGCCCGAGCCCCCCGGAGCCCCCGGCCCGGCACACAAAGGCTCCTCCGGAGCAGCTTCCGGAGGCTCCGCGGGGAACATTCGCGGCTCCGCTCCGGCGTTCCCGGGAGCCGCCGGCGGAGAACGGGCCGGGCCGGCACCGGGAGGAGCCGCGGGTTCAGGGATGAAGCGGCGCCCGTGCCTCAGTTTCCCCCCTTCCCCCCCGCGATCGGTGTCAAAGCCGCCTCCGCGCCGCGCGTTAATTATTCGCGCTGATTAATTAACGGAACGGAACGCCCCGTTAGCGCGGAGAGAAGCGGGTCGGGGGGTCGTTGCCCCCCAGCACGGATAATCCGCCGGAATCCCGGCCGGACGCGGAGGATCCCGAGCACAAAGCGCAGGAGACGCCGGCTTTGGGGGAAAAGGGGGAGAAAATGCCCCAAACCACGGGAAAAGCCGGAATCTTGCGCGGAGACAAAGAGAACTCGGCGCCGCCGCCGCCCCCCGCGCCCCTGGAATTCGGGGGGTGCCACCGGGAGCGCCCCCGGGCGCCGGGAAGGTCACGGAAAATTGGGGCCGTTTCGGGTAAAAGTGGGAAGGAG